ACATCACATCGAGTGTTCATTCATTGACCGCGATTGGATCCACGCTTGTTTTTCTAAGCATTGTTCCCCTTGAATGTGAATATTTTCCTCTAAGTATTTTGTAAAAAATATAACATAGTCGGTCTGAAACTTTTCGGGTTATGGCTTTGTAATGTGGGCTGTGCTTCGATATTACATTTTGCTTTCCATTATGTGCTGAAGAGAAAAAACCGCGGTTACATAGACCCTAAAGGTATCGGGCACATATATATATATATATATCTTTGTTTATTTATATTTATCTCAATGGCTATTTGGATTCGTTTATATGTATGTATGTATATGTGTGTGTATGCATGCATCCATAACATGCGTTCTTGAGAAAGACGAGTCCTAAAGAGGCGCATGCATTCGGCAGCCCGCGAAAGGGGATCCTTTTAAAGCGGAGGACCTGGCCGGAAACTGGCCGAATCGGAATGCACCAAAGCACTGGCGAGCGTCAGTCCCTCAGAACTTTACGGTTTAGGGGTTTAGGGCTTTGGCTTCGGAACTGCATTTGGAGCTTAGCGGAGTTTCGTTGCCCGCCACATTTTAATGGTCTTGTGGAAAGGATTACAACCCGCACTCGGCCCAGGAGCACCCGATCCTGCCACTCTGTACTTGCTGTGTAATGGAGATCAATAGGCACGCGGCCGAGAACAACGCGCGAAAGCTTTGGCGTGTTCGCCGCAGGCAGGGCCGGACCTGCAAAGCCCCGGGGCCGATTTGGGGCCGATTCGCGGACCCTTCCGGGACTACCAGACTTGCGGTTGAACCACACATGCAACTCCCATGGTCAGTGCTATCCTTGAATGAATATGCGACGAGCAACAAGATGAATAGAAACGACATGCCAACACAAGCAGCAGAAGCCAAAGCTGACACCACGCCGCGCAACCACGTCAACGACGGCGACGACCACCACCACCGACACCAACACCACCGCGAGCATGTATCACAACCATCGCCACGCTCATTCGCCTCATCGTCAGCATCAACACTATCAGCAACAGCATAGCCATCTCCGTGTGGGCTGTGTTACAGCCTGGGGGTATTGCGCATGCATCACTGTTAGGAACTATCAGTGCCGTTTCTCCTGGCTTTCATGTCTCAGCCTGCTCTCCTTCCCGAACCACGGAATGGAAACCCAAAAGGGGGTTTCCCCCAAACAATCCCTGTCAAACCCTATAAGAACACCCCGGTTAAGCCCCCATAGCCTGAGCTCGGTACCTTAGGGGGTGATGTCCTGGCTGGGGATGTCGTCGTCCGATGCCCTCAGCCCCGCTCTCTTGTAGGTAAGGGGCACATAGACAAGGGGGGCTGTGGGCCAACCGGAGCATTTTGGATGCTCGGGTTTAGGGAGTTGGTGCAAAAAGTATTCGGTCGTTGGGCAGATCTAGGTTTAGGAATTCAGGTCAGCAAGGTTCAAGTCCTCCATGTTGAGTGCTTGACCCTTCATATTCAGACACCCCCTGTCACTTAAGTCGAGACCTGCGACAATTTCTGAAAGGAAACAGATGCCTTCGACTGCGTAAACTCCTAAGCCTGCAAAGTTAGAGGTCCAAAAAAGCGGCTGGAATGGGGATGGGACGAAGTGACAGGCATTCGAAAAACACCTTTATCTGCCAGGGTCTGCTGCTGCGCATACATGATGGAATATGAGTTTGGGGCCACTGGCCACTTGTGCTCGTCCAGAAGAACGTCCAAACAACAAGCTGCGCGAGCTGACCTTTTCCTTGCACATTGGCCAAGGCGACCGACCTTGCTTGACGCAACTGCCGTGAGACGAACCGACGAATCTGTATCACATCGCAGTGCTGAAAAGCTACTCTCCTGGGGCCGGCATTAGCTACTTTCAGGGTTGCGGGGTTGGGCGTTGTGTTCGAGGTTGCGGGGGGTTGGCACAGTTGAGAGGGAAGTGCTGCTCTGTCGCTTTGGCTTCGCCACACTGATCTCGAGCCCCGCCCAAGAAGCCAGACACAGTTCGATTCTAGGCACTACGCCCACTACGCCCACTTCACTGATGCCGCATCGCCATGTGCACACCGCCACGCCTGCTCGGCAGGACAACTTCAGACCCAAGCGCGACAGACCTCTGCAGCACTAAGCTCCACCCCCATTAGGGGTTGGCACAGCATGGCGTGATGGTTGGAATGGCAAATTTCTGCCAGCACGTCCGTGAAGCGGAGGTGGAAGTCCAAGAGCGGAATGTCATTCGCATCCTGCCCGAAAGGGTTTTCCAGCTCCATGGCAACCTCGTTCAAGCTCCAAAGACTCATGAAGAGGATGAAGCACAAAATAGGCCCAACAATATAGGAGCCAGTGAATATCGTCACATACACCGGGATGAAACACGAGAAGCCGATCAGCAGCCAACCAAGCAGCTGTGCATAAGGCATGGGAAATGGAACATCTGCAACTTTTTGGCAGTTGCAGAAGCCGAGCATGCCATTGGACAGCTCCTGATACATTCTAGACTGGATTGGCGCTGCAATGTCCAGATGCTTCATGGCATCGGCTAAATCCCAGACAATCCAGTACATCACCTCGGCCAGCACTCGCACAGCTCACTGGAAAAAAACATGCTTTAAAGATTGAGATCCCTTCCTTCCCTCTCTACGATGAAGGAAGCGGCGCTTGAGACCCCTATGAATTCGGAGCCTTGCCACCCAAATATGGGACTCTACACCCCGCACCAAATATGAGGAGAGACTCCCGGGGCCACTGAACTCAACTCAAGACCTGACTCTGAGGGTTGAGGGTTGAGTGTGTAGGGTGTCGGGTTTTTTTTTGAGGGTTTAGGGTTTAGGGCTGACCTCAACACCGAAGTATGCGGACCGCCCCCGCCCTTCGCCCCTCCCTGTCTTTATCAGGGTCATGCGGAAGCTCATGCTGGGCCCCAGCTATCAGCATCATCTCCAGGATCAGCATATGATTTCTGTGGGACGGCCCAGCACGATGCCTAACAAAACCCATGGAATACTCAGGCTTCTCTCTGGCAGTGGCAGGCCCAGATGAAGGCACTTTTACGCATAGATCCTAGGTCCTGGGCTAACTGGGCTCTCTTGGGCAGTGGCCCTCGCCCCGAAGCCTTCAGCAATCATGTTTGCACAAGTCCTGATCAACTCAGGCCACTGTGGCAACGTGGTCGTACGATCGCACCAGCAGCTCTTGCTGGTCCTCTCTCTGTCCACACACAGGATAGACTTGAGGAGTGTTATAAAAAGGCACCATTACCTTGACATTCCCGGCTTTCAAACTCGTCTTGCTCTGCTGGGACCTGAACGCCCCCTACTCGTAGAATCTGCTAGGTTGAAGGTTGAGGATCGCCAGAGAGTCGAAGCTTCGTGGACGATCTACTTGACATATGGAGGCATGAAGAAAGGGACTGGGTTTTTTGGGCTCGGAAACCGTAAAGAACAGTACTCAGTACTGCTAGTTATTCAGGCCCCATCCTTCCGTAGAGTGTGCCCGGAAAACCAACATCCAGCATGCACAGAAACACATCACAGGCCAAAACGAGCGTGCATGTGCAGTCGCATGTTTTTCTTTTGTGCGAAAGGCGTGTGTGTGTGTGTATATATATATATACATACACAGCGATCTCATGTGCATCGCTGGTACTGGCAAAATCAGATCAGCACATCTACGACTTCTGCATACGGACCTGCTTGATCAACACACAAGAAACTGGAGAGATACATAGCCAACAGACATGTGGATAGGTAGATAGATAGATAGATAGGTAGCTAGCTAGCTTGCTAGCTAGCTAGCTAGCTAGCTAGCTAGATAGATCGATCGATAGGTAAATAGATAGGTAGACCAGTAGATAAGTAGATAAGTAGATAGGTAGATAGATAGATAAATAGATAAATAAACGATACATAGATGATCTATGGGAATCTACATCACTTGGATGTAGAGCAGAAAGACTACGGCTAAAGCCCCTGAACACCAGATCGCCGGAGCCGCAAACAGCATTGCTGGCTGTTCAAACACCAAGGGTCTTCACAAATAAAGTCAAATCCCTCGTAACCTCGGGTGACGTGCTTTCTGGGGATCCACAAAAATAATGCCAATTTGGGGAAAAACCCACATCGTTTCAAGCCGCCCTTGAGCTGCGCGGCTCCTTTGAGGGGACCTCGAAGACGGGATAGGCATCGTACATGCTGTCACGCTTGAAATGCCTCCTGCAACAGAGGCGAGATCTCCCCTTGGGCCACGGCCCCCATGGCACCGGGCCAGACACTGTAGCCTTTTGCTTGGGTTTCTGATTCCGCGTAGAGTATATAGATCTTTCAGTACAGTGCTTTAGACTTCAGGTTTTCAGTACTCACACTTCTGTTCAAGCCTTCTTGCGGGTTTCAGGAGTCAGGGGAAGCTGCGGTTACAGAAGTGGTTCCTTGACCCTCCTCCTACATTCGGTGAAGAAGTCTCTAGAGACCGTGATGGAAAGGCCAAGGCCCTGGAGATCCCGAGGCCTTCAGGGAAATTAGCCCTTCTGGTTTCAGCACTCACACTCGGACATGCCCTTCTGGTTTAGGGTTTAGGGGGCCTGGAAGTTCCCTGGAAGACATAGGCTTTCGGATATGGAAAGTAGCGTCCACGGCTTCTGGAGCGTGCAAAGGCGCTTCGGTACGATTGCATCGTAGTGCCTGTTTCGTGAGGAGGTGATTAGTACAGCGGCCTTGACAACCACATCGAGGTTTGAGAGTTTTGAATGTCAATTACACGTTCTGTTAGGGGAGATTATTCCTAGCTACTCAAAAACCCTATACTGCTGCTTCGGTCTCGCAAAATCTGTGCACTTGAGAGAGAAGCAAAGTCCTCTCCACGAATTTCGGAAGCGAAGCTGCGCAGCGCTCGTCCTGCTTCATGGCTCTGGCTTTTATGGGCAGACTTTACAGCTTAGGTTACAGGGTGTGCTAATCAATAAGGCATAGTGAGTGCGGGCTTTGATACGAGAAAGTATGAGCTTCCAGCTAACTCCAGTATGGACACAGAAGTCAAGCCTTGAGCGAACTCGAATTGCGACCCCTTTTTGACGGACGTCTGCATGTTGAACCTCGACGCGCATGGAAATCCGTGAGCGTATGCGCTCGAAGCCATCGTCCTGTCAGGTGCTGCAGACGTTCCGGAACACGGGAAATGTTGAGGTCCTGCTACACAATGTGGCTATTATTTTCTATATGTCTTCCGCTGCGCCCCATTTCTGCAACTTTCACATAGTTTTGCTGAAGCCACACGACCAGAGATTCACAGAACCAGTCTCGCTGGTCTTGACGACAGCAACAGCAAAGATAAACGGAGTGGAAACATCTTCACCAGCATGAACAGGTTCGTCAGTCAATGCCGCAGTCATCATCAGCATGATGACGAGCATGGTCGTGGTATGTGCAATACTCATCCTGTGGCCACAGGAAAACACCACCAGCACCAGAAGCGGCCACCATCATCGTCAGCATCGTCATGATCATGATCATCATCACCGCCGCCATCATAACCATCATAAGGAGCAGGACGGATGCAAAAACGTGGCAGAACGGACGGCCAGCAAAGGCTGAGAAACAGCAACTGCATCCAGTTCGACCAGGATTGCTCGGGACACGAATCCGACCGACAGCCATCCATGCCGTGACCTGCTCGATGCTGTGCTTTCTGCTATGGCACTTGCGAATCTCACCACCATGGTAAATCTCACCGTATGTCAGGAGGAGCAGGAGCAGCAGCACGAGGAGGAGGAAGAGGGGGAGCAATTGTTGCTGTTGTTGCTATTGCCGACACTGCTGTTGTGGCCTTTGTTTTTCTATGTTCTTCTTGTTCGGCTTCATTTGCTGCCCCTGTTGTGGCTGCCATGGCATTGCTGCTCGTGCTACTGCCACTGGTGCTGGTGGCACTGGTGTTGCAGGTGGTGTGGGTGGTGGTGGCCCTCGTCGCCTGCAGAAGGAGGAGTGGGGCAGCGGGGGCAAGAGCAGCTGCTGTAGATGCAGCACCAGTCGAGAAACTAGTTGCAGTCCACGGTCAAGTTTTCATTAGTGTGATATGTGTTGCTAGTTGCTAGGGGGGCGAAGGATGCGAAAGCAGCAATCGCAGCAGGAGGCGAAGCAGGCGCCAGGAGCCTCGGGAAGGGGCCAAGCAATGCAGGAGCTGCAAGACATGCGACGTTCAGCTTCGGCAAACCCAACAAGAAAAATTCCGGCGTCCACGACACCAAGTGAAGGAACGGAGGACAACAGGCCAACATCAAGATTCAAAAACCATTCCCAAGCCCTAAACCCTGATGCAAGGCAAGGGCCCTCCTTCATACGCTCGTTGTCTCCACGTGAAAGCCTTTCCGCTGCAAAGGCGCTGAGCAAGGCAAAGTTCCACTTCATCCGTAGCCTGGACGGAGAAAGCTGGGACACGGGGCCATCATGGATGTTTCACATTCAGGGGCTCCCTGGGCTCAGGGATCCGACGCCTCGGATCTTCGGGGTTTGGGAGCTGGCTTTGATTTTCCTGGATTCTGCAATCAGCACGACGATGGTGTTCAGTTCTGCCCTGGATACCAGCAGCCTTCGACCCTGCGTCCCCCTTGTCGCGGCTTTACAGAGCATGAGCTTTGAACTTTCCGATCCCCCAAAAGGGCCCCGTTCAGGAAAAGCGGCTGCTTCTGCCAAAGCAGGTCGGCTCTGGCTCGATCGCCCTCCTCTTTTTGGCGAACACATCGGGGGGCTCTGCTTGTCTGCTTGGGAGAAAACCCAAGAACACCCGCTCTTTTGGAGCGTAGCATCGCAGCTTTTCGGGATGGATCTCCCGCTACACACCGGCAAAGAGAATTCACATGTTCAGTCTCACATCTCCATACACTTCGCCCGGGCCACGGATCAAAGCCTCCACAAACCCTCAACCAGCAGGCCCTGAACCCGACAAGGTGCAATGACACCTTTGAGCCGCCAGGCCCTGCGAGGAGTCTGAATCCTGAAGCCCACAGGACGTCCTCGAATGCTGCCTTCGCCGTGATCTCTGCAAAAGCCTTCGGTGACCGGGCGGGCTCTGGAGGCTTTCTTAGGGACAGCACAACGGCGCAGCACACCAAGAAAGAGTTGCATCCACACAAGGAGAACGTACACACACACACACACACGCCCACCCGCACGTGGAGAGAGACAGAGCCAGACAGCTAGAGAGAGAGACAGAGAGAGAAAAAAAAGATGGCCAGAGCGAGAGGGAGAGAACACAGGTGACCAGTCACATCTGGCCAAAGACCAACGTGCTTCAAACAGGTTCTGCTATCTACTCCGCAGCGTTTGTGGCTTCGGTTCTCGACCCAAAGCACTACGAGACCTGCATCCGGCAGGCCTGAAACTGTGCGAAAGCATCCATCCACCTCAGCTATGACTCGCCAAAGCCGACTGTTCTTCTCTTGACATGCCTGTAGGGTGTCATAGCAAAGCTTGCCTTGCCATGTCGTTGTACTTGAATTATGCCAGTTTCTCTTCGTTTTGATTTGAGCAGGACCGGCACAGCGCGGGACGAAGGCTTACTGCATTCAGACAAGGCGCTTGCTGTACATCATGTGGAGATGGGTGACTGCCTCCCAGAACCTTCCCCACGCCAGTTGGGTTCGGAAGACGATGGCGAAAGTAACTCCAACCCCCACGGCCTGGAAGCCGTAATGGTGTTCGATGTTCGGAGCGTACTCCCAGCCACTATCTATCGAATGCTGGACGGCGGCACCAAGTCCGGCAAGTACCAATCCAGCCAGCAGCGTCTCAGGCCGGAAGAAAATGCTTCCCTGTCGCTGCAAGAGGAGCCGCAACAGTCTCCGGTTGTTGTAAAGGAGCATAGC